AAGACATGAAGAAAGTAAATTCTAGAATTCTATATGCAAAGAATTTAGCTAGGGAGATGGAAACGGGTGAAAATGTGATTCCAAGGACTAGTTCGGTAGCAAAGTTCGTTGTTTCTAAAGAGGAGTCCGGTTTCATGAGTGGAATTCGTGGGGTTATTCTTCATCCTGGGTTTATCCCGAAACTCTCTAGCGTTGGGACTTTACTGCTTGGTGGTTTGATCATAGTTTGGGCGTCGAAGTTGTTTGTTAGTGGAAAAAGGGCTGCGGAATACACACCGTTGGAGAAAGAAATGATGAGGAGAAAGATAAGGTCTAGGAAGGGGAGAGAGAAATTGGAGAAGGGTAGTCGAAGTTGTTCAAGCATCTGTTGAACCGCTGAGCATGTCGTCTCAAAGACCACGGCTGGATAAGCGAGAACTTATGAATAACATACTAAAAGCAAAGGCTGCAACAGATAAATTGGCATTGCTGGATTCTTCTGGCTCTCAGAGTAGCAAATCTCGGGATTTTGAGGGTAAAATTGAGGAAATTAAATGGATGGCCAAGAAAGCCCGGGAGACTGAGGCTAGAGAGCAATCTGGAGTTGGTAAGGAAGAAAAAGAAGTCCAAGCTGCAAACAAGGAATTTTCCGATGAGATGGAGCCAGCCGAAGAGGATGGAAAAGATTGCATGATTTTCCTGAGTAACCCTTCTATAGAAGAAGATTTCATACAAGCCAAAGGTAACCACAATCCAAATGGAGTAGATTCTTTGGATAGTAGAGTTAGGCAAGTCATCGATGCTTCAAGTGTACAGTTATCAAAAGATGAGCAAGCACAAAAAATGACTTAAAAATATGGAGAGTACTTTATTAGTCAACGGAGAATGTAACCAACCCCCTGTCATTCCTGATAATGAATCATATACTTCAGAGAGCAGTTCTTTTGGAAAGAAACCAAGGTCATATTGTCGGTGAAGGAAGCTAGGAAGTTCCTTTCCTCAAATCTGACAAAGAAAGTTTAACGAAGAATCTGTAATGGAATCTGTGCAAGAAAGTGCTCCTGATTTAATCCCACCAAATGATAAAAATCAAGTACAAAGCAGATAATAGATGCGAACAACAAAATGTTCCCACACGGCAGTTCCAGCGGAGATTCAGAGCCTACAGCTTCTGTAAATGCCTGTGAAAGTGCTATTCAGGGGGACAAAGAGTCCATGCTTAATAAGGAAAATGATGAAGAATGCAAAGAAAATGTTCATCAACAACCTCTATCTTCTTCTCAAAAATGCACTGGTAAGAGTAAAGAACAAGGGCGATCAGCGAAGACGGAGAATTGGATAGAGAATAATTTCATGAGGTTGAACCTGTACTTAAAAAGATTGGAGATGGATTTAGAGAAAATTACATGGTTGCTAGGGAGAAAGCTGGTGACAATTAAATGTGCATGCAGAGATAAAGACTTGGCTCTAATGAAGATGAAAATGAGCTAGAGTGGATGAAAGATGATAGACTTAGGGACATTGTTTCCAGGTCCGAGAAAATGAGTTGTCAGGCCGAGATCCCTTTTATTTGATGGATGCTGAAGAGAAACTTGCATTCTTCCAAGGTCTGGAGAAGAAAGTTGAGAAAGAAAACGAAAAACTGTCTCACCTCCATGAGTGGCTTCATTCTAATATCGAAATCTTGATTATGGAGCAGGTAGTTATTCTAAAGGCATAATTATGTTATTTATTTTCTATCCCCTGAAAAAAGAAATATTGCACCATACAATTAAATTTTTTTTATAGCAGCACCGGTTTATGACTTATGATTCAAAATCTGGAATCCTTCTTCAGGCATGTTGTTTTCTGTACTTGTATCTTCTATGTAGAACAGCTCCAATTTTTTTCTGATTTACTGATTGTTATTACTTGGTATTTAGATATAGAAGTTAATGATACAATGCTGCTAATAAAATCTTTGGTTTTTCTTCTAGATGGTATCAGCCTGCATGATCCGCCAGAAAAAATCATACCACGCTGGAAGGGACCCCCATTAGAGAAAAGTCCCGAATTCCTCAGCAACTTCCAAGAACAGCGTAAAGCACTTTTTAATGGAAAAGTTGGTATGACAATCCAACAAAAGGAGATGGACAAAGTTTCCTTCAGAAACTCACAGTCACAGATGAAGATTTATCTAGTTCTTCATCAGATTTGAAGAGTCGATTTCATGGTGCAGATAAAAAGGATTCCAAGATATTATCGAAGGCAGTGATGGTTCTTTCAAACCTGGTAAAAAATCAGGGAAGGAGTTTTGGCAGCATACAAAGAAATGGTCCCGTGGGTTTTTGGAATCTTATAATGCCGAGACTGACCCTGAAGTCAAATCCATTATGAAGGATATGGGAAGGATTTAGACCGATGGATCACTGAAAAAGAAATACAAGAAGCGGCAGATCTGATGAAGAAACTTCCTGAGAGAAACAAAAAATTCATGGAAAAGAAACTCAACAAACTTAAGAGAGAAATGAAATTATTTGGACCACAAGCTGTTGTGAGCAAGTATCAAGAGTATGCAGAAGACAAGGAAGAAGATTATCTATGGTGGTTAGATCTTCCACAGTACTGGTAAGTATTTGCATAATTTTTTGGACAAGTTGTATTGTTCCAGAAGATTATTGATAAGCTGTGGTATGTTTCTAATAATGTGCTTTTGGCTTGTGCCATGCCTATTTTCTATGGTACTGGTTATTGAACACACTCTAATCTTCTGTTTATTTCGCAGTGTATTGAATTATACATTTGAAAATGACGACCAGAGGATAGGATTTTATGCACTGGAGATGGCAGCAGATCTTGAACTGGAACCAAAACCACACCATGTGATTGCTTTTGAAGACGCTGGCGATTGCAAAGTTTTTGCTACATCATGCAGGCTCACTCGGAAATGCTTGGAAACGGCAGAGCCTTTATTGTTCCACAACCACCCAAGTAAATTTTGATTAGTTCTACCATGAATATGGTCAAATATATTGTATTAAGATTATATATATCTATATAAATGGGGAATTTGAAGTGTAAAAAGATTGCCTGAAAAACCAATATGTCCTCATTTATCCAACTTACAAGCGAACATGCTAGTTGCATGCAGAAGATCATTCAGACCAAACTTTATTTTATTGTTGTGATGTTCCTTGCAGTTTAAAGAATACAAACTATCTACTGATCTGATAACTGAAAATCGACCTAAAAAGCATTTAGAGGTGACGGTAATTATATTATATATTTTTCTTTTCTTTTCATTTCCGTCTGTTCTTCATGAGGTTGGAATGATTTCTAATTCTTATTAACTTTCATTAATCCGTAATAGGATGCTTTTAGAGAAGCCAAAGCAAATGGTTTCGGTGTAACTGTGATCAGGAAAGGGGAGCTACGGCTGAATGTGGATCAAACTTTGGAAGAGGTGGAAGAAGAAATATGCGAGATTGGGAGCAAGATATACCATGATAAGATCATGCGTGAACGCTCTGTGGATATAAGCTCTTTGATGAAGGGCATGCTTGGTGTTGGTGATAAACCCAGGAGGAGGTAATTTCTGATCTTCTCGGTGTTTTTCTTTACAAAATAATGCAGTGAAGAATGGTATTCGATATTCGACATGGCTGATGGTACACACAGTAGATGTCTTCGTATTCTGAGTGTGCTGCTTTTTTGCATTTTGATGTCTCTTCTTTTATGGGTTCTTTTCAGAAGGTCAAAGAAGAAGCTCAAAAAGCCTTCCAAGAAATGAGACACTGTTCATACACCTAATGAGAACTGAGGAGTGAAATTGGAATCGACTGCTTGACAAGTTACGGGCCATTGAGATTTAAGAACTTAAATTCGTTCAAAAATACAGCTTTCAGGAAAATCTAAATGCCTGCAATTTTGTACGGACTGTTCTCTTTATTCACCAGCCATTATATTTTCCACCCGTTTGGGTTAATATCAAATTACCTTTAATCGTGTAAAACAACCAACTTTGCAATTAACTCGTCATAATAAACTTAGTTATGCTCCTTATCACTAAATCAAGATCTCCTTGGTCTTAATTAGGTACTGTAAGGCGGTTTTAATCCTCATAAGATATGCTAGAGGTTTTAAAAACCCCTTCCTGAAAAATCTCGGAAAAATTACTCTCTGGGGAGAAAAAAGTGTAATCAATTGAGTTTGGAAAATGATGTTGATCGGTCTCATATTAATAGAGGTAGATGTGACAACTAGGGACGAGAATAAGTCGAATTTTGAATTATTTGAATATATATATATATATATATATATATAATAATAACTTTAATTAATTCATAAATTGTTTAACTATTATTTTCTGGGTTTTTGAGTTAAATATTATTATCTATCAAAATTTTAAATCTGTAAAAAATTCAAACCTAAAATTTTAAATAAAATGATGGATTTGCTTAAGAGGTGACTGATTTTACTTTAATATTTTAGTATATATAAAAATTGAAGAGTTGTGTTAACTTTGAGTAATAATGACTATTTCACGACTATTATATCAATCAGGATGGGCTTATTTTTAAATCAATGATTCTTTAATTGAAAAGTTATAATTTGATTTATTTATATTCGATTAATACTTTCAATTAATGCTAATATTTAATTTTGCAGCACTCTATATCCTAACCTATTTTAATTTATTTTCTTATTTTATTTAGGTATTCATAAAGTATAGTTGAATTGAATTTTCGAGTTCAATAGCAATTTAGAATCTTCTCAAACTAGTTAAATCCTTTCGATCAAGTTCTTTGGTTTAGGACTCCGCTTCAAGATTGTTGGTGGTTGGTGAAGACGATTAATAAACCGCTATTAGCTGAAACAAACGAGAAACATAAAATACCGAGGCCTAGTTCGATCCATTTTGTATACCATGTTCATTACTGCTACATAAAAATGAAAGCTAAGCTAACAATTTACAGAAATAAGCTTGTGGGCTGGCTGCTATTGACTTGATCACAAGCTAAAGTCACACCGCTTAGATGTTCAAATTTGTTAACAACTTAAATTTGAAAATGCCTACTGAATAGGATGTCAAATCTTTGTTCTTATTCCCAACAACTTCAAGAAGATGAAGGCTACAAGACTCACCTGGGGATATGATTTCTTATCTTCATCGGACGGAGAGCACGGCTGCTCAGGGACAGAATCAACAAAAAATTCCTCCACTGAAACAAGTTAGATTATCAGTGTATTGTCAAATATACCCAGTACATTGAATGGGAGAATGTCAACAACTCAAGTCTTCAAAAATGTAAAATTGATGCCATTTGTGGATTTAGTCCCTTAATACAAAGAATTCCGATGCCTTACAGAGATTTTAATGCACATGGACGTCAATTCAAGGGATAAATCCGAAAGTTAAACACGCTTTAATTCAATTTGTAATATGATAGGCGCGATTTTAAACTTCTATTTTGATCCAGTTATACTCAGGAAACTGAAAGGGGAAGACTTCAAATACTTATTTATGAAATGAAGGTCTCAATATTCTTTTTGTATTTTTTTAAAACTAAATTTTTCATGATGAGTGTAGACACCCGTTTTTGTCCGGATCTTTTTTTTTAATTTATTATTTTATTTTATTAGTATTATTATTATTATTATTAGTAATATTATTATTATTAATTTACATGTTACATTTTGTTGCAGGCCACCAATAAGGCCCAATCCCAGAGCCCAATACAACCCAATAGCCTAACAAGTTCAAACCCATTGGAGCCCGACCCGGTTCAGACTTGAACCGGCCCAACTAAACCCTAACCCTAGTTCTGAGCCCTAGCTTCTGTCGCCGCTTGTATCCTCTGCTACCGCCGACTACTCCCATCTGCACCAACAATGACTCAATCAATTAATACAGAGAACAAATCTCATCAAATCCAAGAGTTATCAGCATTAATATAGGGATATCATTCCTTACGAACTGAAGTATCTCTCAAATCCATCAAACAACAGAGAAAGATGAGAGAAGAGAGAAGATAAAAAGAAAGCAAAGAGATTCGAAGGGGAAGCATTCGGGTTGAGGGGAAGGTGATAACCAGGAAAAAAAAACTCAAGAGAGAAAAAAACCGAAAACAAAAAAATCAAAGGGAATCCGTTCAAACCCTAGCACACAACACAGAGAAACAGAAAATCATAAAGCTACAAGGGAGAAATAGAAACATACCTTGGTTCGGGGCTGTGGAAACCCAAAGGTCGACGTGTTTTCGATTTGATTCGAAAGGTAATCCATAGATCTAGGGATTTAAAGGGCTTTTTAGGTTAAGTGGACTTGGGATTCGGGTTGTGGGGGAGAAAAAGAACAGTTTGGGGGTCTTTTGGCTTTCTCCGACAGTCGTGCGCCGCCGTGCGCTGCCGTGAGCACCACCACCGACGGCTGACTTTTCTTCCCCGATGAGGGGATTTTGAGAGAGTTTTAAACTCTCTCTCTCTTGCTTTTCTTCTGAAACGAGAGAAATGAATGGGAGATGAGAGGAATGCCTGATTTTAGGCTTAAGTATCCCCCACAAAACGACGTAGTTTCGAGGGGGACCAGTTTGTAATTTCAACGTGTGTGTTAATTACACGTTTAATTCCCCGTGCTTTGTAATATTTTGGTTTAGTCATAATGAATATTTTTGCTTTATTCTATTTTAAGCACTTATTTTTCTATATTTATTTTTTAGTCCTATTATTATGTGTTATATTATTTTTGTTAATGTTTGACTTTGGGAACTATATTTGTAATTATTTCATTTTTGTCACTGATCTGGTGTTTTGTGTAATTTTGTGGATATTGGAATTTGGCTACAATATTTGTAACTTTATTATTTTAGTCATTGTTTTCATAAGTTCTGATATTTCCTTTGATGTTTGAAATTGGCCATAACATTTGTAAATCCTTCATTTTAATCCCTGATTTAATATTTTGTATATTTTCCTGGGTGTTCGAATTTGGTTATGATATTTATAAATCTTTTATTTTAGTCATTGTTTAACATTTTGGTTTAATTATTGTTTAGTCCTCCATGTTTATTGTTTATTTTATTTTAGTCTATAAATATAATTTATGGGTTATTTTCGTTTCTAATACCTAAGTTATTTAATACTTGCAATTTGAGGCTCTGAGTTGTTTATATTTGTTTATTAGTCCCTAAAGTTTCTATTTTTTATTTTATCCCCTAGGTTTTCTGTTTTTGTTATTTGGATCCTTTAATTTTATGTTTTTGTCATTTTAGTCCTTTAAACTTCTGTTTTAGTTTTTTTAGCCCTTTTAATTTGGTTAAATTATTATTTTGATCCTTGTAATTTCAAATACTTATTTTTGCTCATTTTATTTCGGTTTGCAATATTTATTTGTTTTCAGTTTAGTCCATTATGTATGTGTATACATGTATGTGTATTATGTTAATTTTACTTTACATATTTATATATGTATATGTTGTTTATTACGATATGCTTATTTATTAATTAAATTTCAGTCAATATGCCCTTCTATTATTTTCAAGAACATTCGTCGTAAAATGGGTGTGAAAAGTACCACCTTATGGAGGAGGTGCGATTCAATACAACATTCAAACGGAAGGAAAATTTGAAATAAATCAATTTTTGTTTTACTAATTAATTTGTTTCTATTGTAATTCAAATGATGCAATGAGTATTGTTGTAAATAACAATTTATTTTATTTCATACAAATTGTCCGTATTTAATTTATATTCAATTTGTATTTTTTAATAGATGAGGAAATATTTTTTACGGATAAGAAATAGACGAGACAACTTTCTCGATGGAGGATTGTTAATCTCGAAGTTTCTTTTCAAGTTAAAGAATTTTTCCTAATTAAATAATTCAAAGCAAATTAATTAATTTCGATAAATGAATCATATTTTAATTGTCAATGTGAATTCATTATTTTCACCATTTACGACAACGTGTAAGCGACGCAGTACCAATTTTGGGCGTTGTAGGAGTGTTAATCCTTCCCCACGCGTAACCGACTCCCGAACCCGTTTAAATCAAATCTTTGGTAAACGCAGACCAGTTTTCGTCCTAAAAATGATTTTTCTTAAGATTATTTTAAAAAGACGTTTTTAGGTATTCGACCTACCTAACCCAAAGGCCGATGGAGACTCCTATTCCTTTAATCCAAATTCCTCAAATTTTCCAATTTAAAGTCATAACTACTTTTAAAATAATATTTAATTGTTTTAAAAAAATGGTTATGACAGCTTGGCGACTCCGCTGGGGAATTTTTTTTTAGAGAGTCAGGCTAAGTCGCTTACACTTTGTCGTCTTGGTGGAAATTATGAATTCGAGTATTTAGTTAACTTATGATCCGTTTATTGAGGTTTTTAATTGCTTCATTTTTAACTGTCATACTAACACTTGAATTTTTGCTTTCAGATCGATCCAAGTTTTTGTCAAGTTTTATCTCTCTTTCATTTTTGAGTCAAAGGTAGGTACGCTCCTCTTCACACACATCACGTGCATTTGCATGACATAAGCTCTAGACACGAGCTTTGATCCAAATTAGTCGGGTGAATGCTTTACTCTCGTAAGAATTTATTCTTCGTATGAGTTTTAGTAAATAACCCATGGGATACATACCTTATACCTTCGTAGAGATTTATTCCTCGTATGGGTATAAGGCAGTGAATCCCCTCGAATTGAACTCGTTCCGTTCGAAACCTGTAATGGGTGAGGATCGAGGGTCTGGCAGCCCAAGGGGGCACCGACATCAAGGACAATTCGGGTACCATTTTTCCGTTAGAGCTGAAACCATATATATAGTGAACCTTAGAACGGTCACCATAAGTATAGTCATATCGAACCTCTGTCTTTCAGTAAGTACCTAACTTAGGTGTACACAAAGGATGAGTGTTTCTGAACCTTTCCTTTTTACTTTAAATTCTGTTGAATAAAAGCATGCGAACTAGATATCATGCGGTTAGGACCAATTTCTTGAAAATAGATAATTTTGGGTAGAAATCATGTCCGGGTAGGATTGTTATCTATTGAAAGCATGTTTGGGTAGATATCATGACGGGGTAGGTGTTATATTCATCTTGGAATAACATTTTTATCCATATCAATTATTTTACATGTACTAACTCGTTTTTCTCTTTTGTTTTTACACACTAACTTATTTATTTTTGTTTGTGTCATTTTTCATCATTCTTTGCATTGCATTGCATCGACATAACATAATGCAAAAGTGTTGATCCGCAAGGGGATATCCATGAGAAAATCTTCACAAGAAGAGATAAAAGTTTTCAATCAAGCAGTCGCATACACAAACATGCACCGAAGGTTAAAAAAGTTCAGAACACAAGAATGAGACTTGCTCAAAGATCGTGCAACATTTGAGACTGAAGAGATGATCCCCTGATCCACTGAGTAATCCAGCAGTAGAGCCTCATCTACAATTATTTCATCGCTATCCATCAAGGAGTGACGCACTGACTTCAACACCGCCGGGGCATTAATGGTGTCAGATTATAGAACGCTTGAGGGGCATCGTTTTCAAGGACGAAGATCTGAGACGAAGCAACGATCTACTTCAGAATCAAACATCTAAGCCAAAGAATGTTTGTAAAGTGGATTGTCTTGTAATGTGAAAGCTTTTATTTCTGGTGAAAATTATTCTATGATATTCATCGTTGGGATCAACATATTTGCATCTCCATTTGCATCTTTGCATTTTGCATATGTATTTCATTTTTAAGCATTTTCACATGCATCATTCATAAAAACAGGGAATTAATCCATAGAGTATTTGATGAAGTGGTCCTAACCACATTTACAATTAAAAGAAGAAGCTAAAATCATTACGATGAGAGCATGTTCAGCTGGATGTAGGACTAAGCATACCAGGACGTTCTGAGAAAAGAGTCTCCATTTCTTGAGGTCCATAATGTTGATATCACATAGGAAGCTCCATACAGTCCGCTAAAAATTGTAAGGCACTGAAGCGCAAGATCCAGAACCTGATGGATTCAGGGGTATGTGCAATCTAATAAGGACGAGGGCATGTCATCTACCATTTGCATCCAAAGAGATTGTGTTGCTTGAAATCGTTTTTGTTCTACCTTTAATATTTTTTAAATATTTTTAATATTAATGTTTGAATTTATGCTACCTTCTAAGGTGGAATAATTGAACAAATTTTAATTTTTAGTTATTTGAATA